ACATTTACAAGTATGTACTGTATTTACAGTACAGTACATGCATTCGTAAATTTAGATTACTTTTTTCTGTACTCTATTAAAAACTAAAATTTATTTGTTTGTAAGCTTAAAATAGATTCTTATTAACCATATATTATTAAAAATGCATTAATAAATAAAATACAGAACTGGGAATAGTAATTTATGGTTTAGCCTAGTGACAAGTAGATTCGGAGACAAGTAAATTCGACTTACGTCGTTTTTCGACTTAAGTCGTTTTCCTGGAACCAATTACCGACGTAAGGCGAGGTATACCTGTATACATAAATAATATTACTTACTTTAAAGCTTCTGAAAGTTTTCGACAATATTTATCATCAAGATACTGACAAATAATTTCATAAGCGCATTTACGTATTCCTGCAAATTTTATAATATATTTTAGTTTAAATTAAGATTATTATTTTAACAAAACATATTCAAAATAAACATAGAACTTGAAGAAAGTACACACATTTTTAACTGTATATTAGTTGTATACTGCTTCCAATTTTCCACTATTAAAAATAAGTTTAGAAATGCAATATAAAAACAATGATACTCAGATAAAATTAATATTAAATTTGCTAAAGTTGCTGCTATTTCATCTAGCATCTAATACAGCTACAAAACTATTCCAATGATAATTATGGGACTATTTCAGATAAGCAACATGCAGTGTCAACAAGTAACATTGTAAGCTGAAACAGTAAGATTATTTAATTATAAAAAATCATTTCAGACATAACTGATATAATCTTCTTAATATAATTTCTGTTCACTTATTTTCTAAAACAAAAACATTCATTGTTACTGTTTAGAATTCTTTCTCAAATTTTTAATTTAATCACTATGCACATTTAGAAAGTAATTTATCTACAAGATAACTTAGATTGTATGAATCCAAGACTGTTGTCCACCTTCTGTCCAATGCCTTAGAATCTTGGGCATTAATTACATTTACAGTAGATCCCCCTATAAAACCGTTTCCTATAGTTATGATTCCTATAAAAATTGTGGCATTATCCGTAAACAACGGTAAAAATAACTCCTATAATACGTAAAACGTCATCGGGCAGCCGAACTACTTACCCGCCGTCCGTAGCGCCACGCTACGGAGAGATTTCTATCGTCTGGACAGTATTATATAAATTATATATAAATTAGGTACTGTACATATAATTATATATTAATTATATATAAATTAGGTACTGTATATATAATTATATATTAACTTAATTTATTGTAACTTTATTATAATTAAATATATATTTTTCGCCGTCTAATGTCACGCTACGGCGAGTTAGGCGACCTATCATCTGTTTAGTACTGTAATTTTATACATTTCTTGTGAAAGAAACATTTCTTATTTAACGGCCATAAAAATTATTTATATTAATGATGTCTCCAAAGGTCAACGAAGTTTTCGCAGAAAAATAATATCAGAAATCGTGGCCGCAATTTGATGCGCTGTTCCGCGACGAAACCAAGCTTTAGCAACGAGCGTAGTCAAAGGGTACACACTCGGTAAGTAATCCTACAATTTTTTGTTTATAACGTAGTTTATACGGATTATTTTAAAAAATATATACGTATTTTGGAAATGTTGAGTCGAATTAGTCTAGAATCGATTAATTTTATGAAAGAAAACCTTTCAAATAGCCGTAGTCCGTAAACTATGATTCCTACAAAATTGATTCATAAAGAACGGAACGTATCTACCGTCTTATAGGGGGATCTACTGTACATATTGTGCTAAAAAACATATAAAGCATTGCTCAATGGTCTAATTGAGCTGACATATGCCACTTTTAATAATAGCTGGACTTTTCCAATGGACTGTGACATTATGCTTCAATGCCCACTGCATTAAAGATGTGCTGGTTCAGCCTGTTTTACATGTAAAATCAACATGTTCTTTCATTCATTGTCATATCAACCTGTACATTGAACCTATATAGTGAAAATCTCTATCAAACCAAGATAGCCCAACCAGATATACTCCTGCCTTATCTGACACTGTCCTTATTTGTTCTAAACACTTGCATGATGGTTAGTAAGTATTTAACTTATAGCTGGATGCTGTTTATCTAACACAAAGGAGTACCATGGATGCTACAAACTTGCCTGTGACTATGTATCTGTCACTAACCTTGCTTAAATGTACTAATTTATGTCTCCTCTCTACTGAGCAATTGACCATTAGACAGGTTGTTGTAATGAAGCCTTTTACAATCCAAAGAGGAAAACCATGGGCAAAGGCTGACTAGGTGAAATACTCAAACTCATGTGTCCAATGAAGTGTGTGTCACAGCTTTTCTTGGAAGTGCACAGGCCACTAACTTATGGCATATGATATCAAACAAGTATCAAAGTAAATAGTCGTAATTTGTTTATATTTTATAAAAATACTTTTACTGATGCAAAAAATATTTAATTTTTACTCTGATTTTATACACAGTTAAGAGTTGAAACTGTAACTAACTGCTTCTAAAATTGTTTCATGATGACAATATTTCTGTACACATTGAAAACTTTTCAATCTATTAAAACTCATTCACTTTTGATTTTTAACATCAATAAACTGAATTTTGTTCTTTAGTACTCAATTGTTTCTTGTTCTCTCTACTTTTGTCTTTGGAAGTAAGCACAGAATTGTCGTGGAGAACTTATAAAAAACACAGCTGATTAATTGTTAGACATTATATAAAAAGGGTACACATTTCAGGCTATTCACCCCTCTTTAGTCCTTATTATATACATCTGATAAAATTGAATTGATACCATATTTACTTGAATATAAGACGATCTCACATATAAGACGAGGTGTGACTTTAAAGATCAAAATAAAGAAAAATTAGATTAATACAATTCTAATTTTATTTCATTTAATCACAAGTAAAATATCAAATGAATGTAAATGTACACATTGTCCCACAAAAATTACTAGCATTTTAAAAACTAAGGAAAAATCTTGTAAGATCGACAACATAATTTGTTCATGTGAAGCTGGGCAATCGGAATCTTTTTTTTTTGTGCCAATTCTTGACAGTCAAATCCACTCTCCGTCGATTACACTTATGAGTTTCTCTGAATTATGATTTCCAAATAATCATCTGTTTTCACATAGGAATGGATTAAAACTTATATCATGTTCCCGTGTGATTTTGGAATTTCAATCTGGAATGGAATTCAATTCAAAGGCTTTGCTTTTCCTATTGCTATTCATCTTTACTCCTGACAATATACAAGAATGATTCAAATGACCTAGATAAAATACTTATGTTTTTAAATACAAGAGAGTAAGCATCCAGTAAAAAATGCAAATACATGATTCAAAAAATTATTTGAAAAAATGGAAAGAATCTTTTGCTCACGTGTTTAGGACAACCTAGAAATTTGACGCTGTGATAAATTAATAAAAACCTCGTCTTATATGTGAGAAAATACAGTATATTTATTGGTAACATCTTCAGTAACAAAACAAATTAACACACAAAGAAACCACTAAAACAAATCACCAAATGTTTTGTTCTGCTTTTAATTACTTTAATGAGATTTAATAATGCTATTGGTTTAATTAAGAACAGTTTTAAGTATGAAAATAAATTCTTACTTAAAAAGTAACTAGATTTTTTGTCTGAATAATTACAATTATACAGATTAACAGATTAATTCTTACTTTCTATTTGTTGAGATTTGTTCTTTAATATTAAGCCTGCAACTTTGGATCCATTTGAACATTCTATTTCTTTTTCTTTTAATAGAAAAACTAAGTTTTCAAACTTTAATTTTAACCACTGAATTGTCTTTACTTCACTATATTTATACAATGATTCGTCTCCAAACTCTGAAACAAAGTAATATGATTTACATTAAAAATCACATTAATAATTTAATGATTGAAATATAACTGCTGTATTTGACTAAATTTAAGACATTTAATTGTATCATAAAAATTTTATATATACAATAATGTAAGAATTTTATTTTGTATTTCAATATATTTTGAAAAATTATTGAAGAAAAACAAAAATTACAGAATAAAATTTACTCTTAACATACACAATCTGTTTTTAAACATTTACAACAGCAAAGAAATAGGGCAATGGTTCCCAATTAGTGGTATGCGAAATTGCATGAAGGGGTATGCGCAGCAATCTAAAATCGGTCGATTTAAAATTTAAATGCATGAGATGAAGCAATAAAAAAATAACGGGTGGACCATCAAAAATTCGGCAATTTACAACATGATGTGGAATGCACAAATTCATTTATTTATAACTAAAAATATTCTCGAAATTTCATCAAAAAAATGCATTTGTGACAATACCTAAATTCTTACGCAAGAAACAAAAATTGTACAATTAACACAGTTTGTGCTAATTGTACAATTATCATTATTATCACGTCAGTGAAGCAGCAATAAAATATTTACTACCATTTTGCACAACATACCTCTGCGAGAGCGAATTTTCAGCTATGAGAAACATGAAAACTAAACATCGTCACCAACTTCAACTCGAAGATGATTTGAGACTGAAGCTGACCAAAAAGCAACCAGATTTTACAAAGTTGTGCAAAGAAAATTGTGCACATTTGTCGCATTAAAATCAAATAACCTTATGTTATTTTCATTATTATTAGAATTGTATTTTAAAGGTAATAAATGTAAAAAAAACTTATTCTATTTATCACTAGCTGTCTACCACAGCTTCGCCCGCATTATATCAAATTTTATTGTGGGAGTAAGATATTTTCTCGCAGTAAAATGTAGCCTATGTCCATCTCCAACATGTAAGCTATCTCTGTGCCAAATTTTACTAAAACCTATTCAGCGGTTTAGACATGAAAAGGTAACAAACGGACAGACAGAATTATCTTCAAATTTATAATATTAGTATGGATTAATATGAATTTCTGCTATAAGGGGTACGAGAGTTTGAGCTCTTTCTTGAAGTGGTATGCAGGAAAAACTAATTGGGAACCACTGCAATAGGGGATAGCTGAGTCATGGGTGTAACAATTCTTTCTTTGGAAAGAAATTTTTCTCCAATTTCTTATTATACCATTAAAGCTTGTTTGATCCTGTCATCAGTCAATAACCCATAAAGCAAGGTTGGAGGAGATAATTTGGGAAGCAGAAGCTGACCAAAAGCTCATCAAATATCAATGGCTTTCCACGTGTTATCAAAAACTGAAAATGGCCTTCAAAAAAAATCATCTTAAAGAATTTGAAAAATTTTACAGTTGATACAGAATTCCACCATTGGATGGATGTGCAATCAATACTAAAAACATAAAAATAATACACAAAGAAAAAGGCAGATATTTATGTAGATTCAAAGAACACCTCGCAATTGTTAGTACAACTAACACCATAAACTTAAACAATGGAATGGAGATTGATGACGTGTGGGAAGAAATGGTTAGAACCAAATAGTAAGTAAACAGACAGGACAGTTGAAAATGCCCTAGGGGACAGAACATCGATACCACAAAGCTGTATAATGTAACATCAAAAATCTTACACCCAAAATGCATAGTATAATAAAGAACTAACATACAGTTGACCCCCCTATAACACGAGTTCATATAATGCAGATTCGTATATCACATAGAAAAAATTGCAACCGTATTCGTATAAAGACGTTAAAAGAGGCTCATAAAATGCGGTAAAACATGATTGCCGACTCGTGTCGCGACAGGATTGGTCGAATCTGGACCAATAGTGGACGAGCAGCCGAACTACTTACACGCTACAGAGTTTAGGTGGGTAAGTTGAGTTTACTATCGTCTGTACAGTATATAAATTAGTTACTGTAAGTCTAATACAGTACTGTAATTTTATACATTTCTTGTGAAAAAAACATTTCTTATTCAACAGTCATAAAAATTATTTCTATTAATGATGTCTCCAAAGTTCAGCGAATTTTTTGCAGAAAAATAACTTATCAGGAAACATGCACCTGCCATTCGATGAGCTGCTCCGCGACGAAAACAAGCTTAAGTAATGGAGTCTTCAAACGGTGCACACTCGGTAAGTAATCCTACAATTTTTTGTTTATAGCATAGTTTATACGGATTATTCCCAAAAATTATACGTGTTTTGGAAATGTCGAGTCAGATTAGTCTAGAATCAATTAATTTTATGGAAGAAAACCTTTCAAACAGCCATAGCCGCTAAACTGCACACATGCTGGGCTGTGATTGGCTCATGTATTTAAGGATTCCTACAACATGAAATTCTTATAAAGTGGAACGTATCTACTGCATTATAGGGGGGTCGACTGTATATAAATCTTTACTAGTTGCCTCTGTTGAAATGCAGTTACAGATTAAAAAATGATGGTGGAATTCTGTATCAACCGTTAAGTTTTCAAATTCTTTAAGAAGATTTTTTTGAAGAATTAATTTTAAAGTAATATAGAAACAACCACACCATAAGAAATACATTTCTGCTACTTATAGAATGAAAATGGCCTCTACCAAATAAACACTGTCCCACTACTACATAGAGCTGAAGACTTCTAACAAAATTGGTAATAGGTCACCACTGAGTGTTAGCATGTTGCAGCATAAAAAGTCCAAAAAGAATGTTCATTTTGTTCAGTTATGATCTCTTACAGTTCTCCTAACAATCTCTCATGTTTAAAAGAAAGGTACTTTTTCAGTGTTTAGTTCTCCATACTGAATGTATCATTGGTAAAAAATTGCATAGAATATTCAGAAACAAAAATATGAAGTTTCTTTTCAGGTAGAAACATTAAATTTTTTTAGCTATTTCTCATAATATGGTATCAAAGTTTATGTAATTTAACAATAAGATATTAAATTTTACCTTTTTTATCTGTAATTAGATCAATTCGACTTAAACAGCATTGAGAAAGAATCTTACAATCAGGAAAATTTTCATCTACGAATAATTGATCAAGAGGTGAATAAACCTAAAAATAAATAATATAAAATTAACTTTATAATATAATGTTAACTTTTTATAATCCAAAAAAAACTGCATTAAATATGTTATACTTTAAAAGCATCCTAATGAAAACTATGAAATGTTGAACTTCATATTGTCACAATGCAAATAATGGCAGATGATTCTCAAAGAACAATAATGAAATTTATTTACTAAGTTAAATAAACAAATAACAAATTTAATTAGACATTCTTAAAATACAAAAAAAAACAAAAAAGTTTTAAATGTTTGAGTAGAACAGCAGAGAAAACACAAAACATATGTAGAGTACAGTAATACCCCAAACTTACGCGATAGGTAGGACCGAGCGATAACCGCGTAAGTCGAATTCGCGTAAGTTGGGGTATAATTTCCCAATTTGTGTAAAATCCAAGTCGGATGTATGTAAGCTAATAAATGTTCTTGTTAATCTTATCTTGTCTTTTGATTCATTTACAGTTACAAGAAATCACCACATAGTCTCTCTCAAGTCTCCGTAGATACAACAAACACAGAAATAAATAACACAAAATAAATTGTAGCTATGTGTCGATTCCACACGACACGTCCGAACATGTAAGCTGAACAATAGTGTGGGGGGAGTGAGTAATGAAGAGTTGCGTCACACTCAAACAAAAGAAGAATTTGACGAGATTTGAAAATCGCGTAACTCCGGGTTCGCGTAAGTCAGGGTAGCATAAGTCGAAGTATTACTGTATTTGATTTTTTGATTATGTACAGTACAAATCATACATATTACACATATTAACTCCTAACGATATACATACAATCTGTTTTTTTTAATCATAAAAAAATTTCTTACTTCTTTTAAATAAGGTAATATCAGAAAAAGTGGATCAACTGTGGTAGTAACATAGATAACACCATCTGTAAAAAGATATATTAAAATAATACATTTTTAGCATACAATAAATATAGCCATAAAAAGTTAATACAGTAATCCACAAATTATAAATTAAATAATAGTAAAACACTAAACTATCCTTAAAATATTATAAAAGACCCAGCAGTTATTTAAAATAATACAGGTAGTATTTTCTCCAAATAGCCTTTGAATAGTGTTTCACTCTTTCAATTCATCTATATATAATAATGAGGATGTTTTTGTTTGTTTGCTATGCACTCTCAGGCAGTTTGATCAATTGCTATTAAACTCGGCAGTCAGTTTAACATACTATTACGTTCTAACTTAGATAATGTCATACATACCACCCTAAAACAGTGATTTAATTTCTATATATCAATTAATTTCTGTTTAAATCCAATGTAATGGCTTTAAATGTAGCACCAATCTACTGGCAGAAAAGAATTTTTTTAAATAATAAACTAAATGTAATTCGTACAAAAAAGGATGTAATTAAAAAAGAAAACAAATATTATATTCACTTAATTAATGTGACAATGATACAGCACAAAGTAGATGCGCTACATCATTACTGTAACTGGTACTGCACTAACATGCATCCAGTTGAAACTGTTACACTGTAAGTGAAAACTATATAAGTATTTAAGTTTTCCACTTCTAACAACTCGGGTATGGGTTTATTAAAAGTGGAATTCTGATAATGTTCTTAAAATAGATTTTACAACATGCTTTTGAAATTTAAATTAATAACAACAAGTGTAACAATTACTGTAACGGGTACTTTTATAAACCCAGGCAACGCAGAGTGAAACAGGTTAGTTTTATATAAATCTGAACAATATAATTATGGTAATATATGGAAGATTTTACAGATATTCATGTTTACTACAACAATTAGATAATAAGAAATGAAACAATAGATTATATAATTGAAAACAGAATTATACTGGAATAAACTCACCTATGTATTTAAGTACCAAACTGACAAACAATGTTTTGATACTTTGCAGCTTATACACTGTGGCATAATTTTATTAAGATTTTGAACTTTTGAAAAAATTTCAAGTGATCTAACTGTGTAGCATACTTAATGTGATGAAGTTAACATTCTCAGTATAGTTTACCTATTTACTTATTCCGATGATAATGACTATGCCAAGCAAAACTGAATTATTATTTATTGTCATGTAATTTAAATATTTTTAGAAAGTAGGAAAAAATAAAGGCAATAAAAATATTACTTGCATATCAGCAAATGATCTCAAATTAAAACATTTGGAGTCTTAAAACTCCTCACCACACCAATTCTAAATTAATACTTTCTTTTTGCAGATTGAATCAGAAAACAGATTCTAAGAGGTGCATTGAAAAAGTAAATGCCATTTGGCTATTTAAAAAAGTAGGCAATTGAAATAAAAATGATTTAATTACCATTAAATTATATGTAGCTTAATCTACTTTTCAACATAATTGCCGTGCAAATTGAGGTACTTATCATATCTTGGCACAAAATCGAAGATACCCTGTTCATAGAATTCCACTGCCTGTGATTTGAACCATTTCTGGACATTCTGCTTTCCCTCATCATCACCGCTGACACTCGGGCTGCTAAGAAATGTCAAGATGCCGGAATAGATAGAAATCGCTTTGGTCACTAAGTCTGTATTACGGAGGTGAGCGATTTGTTCCAGGAAAGTGACTTAAGCAGCTCCTGTGTCGTGCTTGTAAGTGTTTTTTTTTTTTTAAATTATACTTCATAAACATTTTTCCCAATATGCTGATAAAACCCTTAACTGTCATGCAATTTTTACATACTTTATTTGGAGAAATTATCATTTTAACATTTATTACAATGAATTTGATAGTTTATTTTGGAATTTTGGATCTTTTTAAACCTTTTCAAATTATATAAAATGTTCAAGATAATAAAATACAAAATATTAGTTTCATATTAGTATTGTTGCACAAATCTCTAGGTTTAAGCATTGACACATGTCATTAAAGATTAATACTCACAATACTAATTTTTAAATTATTTTGTAATAATTTTATCATCATCTTTGAATAAATTTCTACATATCTGTTTACCTTGTTCTACAGAATCATCAATAAACCATGAATTTTTAGGATTCTGAAATTGAAGTATTTCATGCAGCTGATATTTCTTTTCATCAAAAATATACTTTACTGGATTACCTGAGAAAATAATTTACAACATAATTAAGTTTTGAATTTATAAAAATACATCTATTGGAATAAGAAAGCAAGATATTTAAAAGCAATTGAGGATTCATCATGATCATGCTTTATTCCTTTATTATCAGGAAAATCATTCATATTGTATCTTCTTTAGCCAAATAAAAAATGATCATCACCAATAAACATTGGAATATCAATGGTAAGAAATAGACATGATGCTGAAGAATTTGTAAATTTATTACTAAAAAGTATGTGCAGATTTTTTAGTAATAAGTTCCCCGAAGATAGACTAATTCAAAAGTGAGATATTAAATTCTCTAAAAAGACTTGTGTTGTTTAATAAACTTTTATTAAACAGCATACTATTTACTACTACAGTTAGATTATTAAAGAATATTTTTATTTATTAAATCAGTTTTTTTATATTATTTATATAAAATTCGTTACCTGTTTTTAAACATTTCAATGTTGTTATCCTGTATGTGTTTTCTGATTCTTCCTCGTTGTCAATTAAATTTTCTAAAAAAACAAATTAATGGTAAAACTGTAGCTCTGAATGAGGCAGTTAGCAGAGCTCTATACCATGCCCACAACAGTAAAAACTATGGTCTACATGTGAAGTTTCACAAGATATAGCCCACGAAACAGCCTATCTGAAATTTTGAAGGCCCTCAAAAATGGGGTAAAATTTAATTGAAAAAAACTAGAACTATTTCTCAAAATGCTAAAAATCAACTGTTTCTTTTTACTAGAGACAGCTAAAGTTCACAAAACATGAGAAACACCATTGCACCAATGACTTCTAAGACACAAATGAAGTCAAGCTGTAAAAATACAGGTTGATAGCCCTGCAATTAAACAAAACAACACCATCTAATAATTCATCTGATACTCAATAGAACTTGGTATCAATTCCTGCACAATTAGTCATAATCTAATGAAATGGAAATATTATTTACATGAACTGTATTTCTGAATATTCGTATTTAGACCAATAAATATATCAGAAATTTGTTATTTACATTCAAAAATGTACACAGTAATTATCAATGCACATCATTTATTAAATTTGTGGGTAATGTTCCCATTAAAACTTGAATTTTACACAGCTATCAACAGTCCCACATTCCAGTACCTCGTCCCTAAATCCCATAAACTGTCCCACAAACACAAATTTTGATACATCTTCAATCAACCAAGGTCGACTAGAAGTTTTGCAGAAGAAAAATATTAGCAGAGCCCCAAAACATTTGCAAACAGAATTTTTATTACCAAAGACACGTTATCTAACGTGTCTTTGGTAATAATACGTGTCTTTGGTAATAAACGTTGGATAACGTGTCTTAGTAAGTTTACTAAGACACGTTATCTTGCAGCCAAAGTTTATTACTTCAAATGTTTTCGGTCACGTTAAATGACCTTTCTCAAGAAAAAGAAATAAGAGAAACAAGCTTTTTGAATATTTTTCGAAAAGCTTGTTCATTTGTACTAAGCGTTCGATTTATACAGTTTTTTATCTTTTATTTTGCTTTCTCTTATTTCTTTTTCTTGAGAAAGGTCATTTAACATGACCGAAAACGTTTGAAGTAATAAACTTCAGCTGCAAGATAAGGTGTCTTAGTAAGTCTTTTGGTATTAATAGTATGCAGTCTCAAACAAATTACAGAATTTTTAACAATTTTCTTAGAAATTTGAAAGTGCAGGGCTTCGTCAATCATGGGACCACAGTCCACAGCTCATAAAACTCGCAGCTGAGCAGGCCCCGCTAACATTTTGTCAAAAGTGTGTTTGTTTAAGTTACGGCAATGCATCACTTGGGTGATCTGACTAGGGGAAATGCCTTCCTGAGGTCTTTTTAAGGGTAACTGACCCCTAATTAGGCATTATAGACATAAAACCCAGAGAAGTCCAGTGGCCAGCCCGTCCTGGTGAGGCAAATCCCAGTGTTTAGAGAACAGAACTGCTTGGCCACTGGTGGGCCCTCAAAGGTGTTCATTCTGTTATTCTAGACTTAAAGAACATAAATTTATTTACGTTATAGAAATCAATATAATTGTAAAAGTTAAAACGAAACAAAGACTTGCTTCAAAGCATGGCATTTGTCCATTTCAGACCACGTTGTCCCTCAGTTACAACACATGGTTAACAGAACTTATTTTAAGATGTTTTAACGCGTAAATTTTATTTTATTTTTTTATATTTCCACCATAAAATTCGTTGCAATTGCAAACTCACTTGGAATTATAAATACTTTCTGAGCCATTGTATAGTCTTACTCGTAAACACATAAAATGTATAACAGCACGTTCGCTTTCGCTTTCGCGCCACGTGACTGGTGCCGCCTATCGTCAAAATATCAAAAGGATTTCGACAAAATATAACACAGATAAATCTTTTAAAATTCGTTTCCGTTTAAAATAAAATTAATTAATTCATGAAGCTACTCCGAAAAAAATAATAACTTCCGATAATGTTTCTTTATTATATAAATACTCGTCGGGATCCAGGTAGATTGCCCAAGTGTCACATTGCCATAAACAACTAATCCAATCCCCCGATGCGGGTGCCTCTCGGGAGGACTTTCGATGAGAAACTGATCCCTATTTAATTAAGTTTACTTTACGAAAAACTTCGCGTGGTCAACTCGTTGGCGAGGCGCGAACCCAGACCAATAATCAGTGATTTTATCTATTCGGCTACATTTTTTTAAAAACTCTTTCTGCCCTGTGGGCACTAAGAGGGCCTGATTTTAGCAATCCCATTATGGGTTCGGCCAAACCCACAATGGGGCGGCCGGATGATGAAGGACGGGAGCCGATATATCCGGACGGACCACCCACCGAAAAATTCCTGGTGATATTTCGACCCGTTCGGATTCGAACCCGGGCCCCCCCCAGAGTAGCAGGCTGCCACCTTGACCGCTCGGCCATCCGGCCTCATCCATTCGGCTACTGGTGGATCTTGGGGGCTAGGGATTTTTTCCTGGACTTGGAAAAAATTTGGGATCCGTACTGGTTCTTACCCCCTAAAAAGCCAAAATCAGTAAAAATCAGTTGAAGGATGAAAGTTGAAAATTAGTTGACTGATAAAGACAGCGGGATGAATTCAATCATTACACGTGGGTAAACGTATGTAAATAAACACGCTGCAGCTGTACAATCCAACGAACGACGATAATACAATTAGCTACGCTACAGAATAAACGAAGGGTTAGAATTTGCTGAATTGAAAAATAAATAAGAAATATGTCCGCAAAGAGCCAAAATCAGCGACACTATGACGGGAAAAGCAATCTTCAAAAAGATGCAGAAAATTATAATATGCAATTAATTCGACGGGCGGATGGCCTAGCGTTTAAGATAGTATCCTACCACTATGGGAAGTTGGGATAGAATTTCAATGGGTTGAAAAATCTCAGGGGTTTTCCGGCATCGTCCATCGGGCTATCATCGAGCCCTATCATTCACCGCCATTGTAAGCCTGGTCTTGCGGGGCTTGCTACAGAACGGAAATCGTTTTTAATTTAAAAACCTCATAAATTAACGTTACTTTTACTAATTGTAAATTATAATTTTCTACGTCTTTTTAAGATTAATTTCCCTGTCAAATTGTCGCCGATTTTGTCTTCTACGGACTTATTTATTATCCATTTTTTAATTCAGGAAATTTCGAACGTTTTTTTTTGCTTTAGTGGAGATAATTGTATTATCATTGTCCGTTGGATTGTACAGCTGAACATTTATTTGCATAAGTTTACCGATTTATAATAAGCAGGCTCATCCAGCTACCGTTACCCCTCAACAAATTTTCTACTTTATTCTTCAACTATTTGGATGATTATCACTGGTTTAGGCTTTTTGAGCACTTATTTATATTTTAATATCGTGTGAAACCAAACCGTTTGTCTCTATTCTGGTAGAGACAATCGTATTCTAATTGTCTTTTGGATTATTCAACTGCAGTACTTTATTTATATTTTCTCTCCCCAAGTAACAAGTGGATTCATCCGCTTGTTTTATAAGCCAATTAATGTTCGACCATACTCTTGATCCCGCCAGAATCTCCATATTATAGAGAAGAAAAGAAAAGAAGAAGACCATACTCTTAACAAATTGAATGGTGCGAGTTGCTAATTAATTCTAAATTATCTTGTAAATTTCTTACATATTTTTGCAGGTTAGTTGTTTTCTTAGCTTATTTTTTTTATTTGTTTTGTTTCATTTTGTATACGTCAACGCGACAGATGGGCGATACCTCTCGGGAGGGCTTTCTATGGAAAACTACTCCCTATTTAGGTGTTACCTGTTTAAGTGTTACCACTTTTTTGTCTTAAATCTTTCTAAAATTGCACTAAGATGGCTTTTTCTTTTTACAATCTTTTATGGGTTCGGCTGGGCCCATAATGAGGCGTCAGGATCTGATTCCGGACAATATTTATGTAAAATAAATACAGTAGAGCGTCGTTTATCCGAATCAAATGGGGACTGGGGTTGTTCGGATTAACTCATTTTTCGGATAACCGATTATGTGCGAAAAAATATATTAACCTATCCCGTGTTGAAATTTTTCTCCGTTGTGTGTCGCTTCGCATTGAATTTTCGTCGGTGTTAAGCCAAACGTAAACTTTTTAAAATAATAATCGTGGCTATTGTATCGTTAAAAATGATTTCTTTATGTTTTACAAACGAAATAAACACATTGAAAAATATAAAAACAAATAAAAATTATACTTTAGGCCGACTGGAATTCTTTCGGATAACCGACTTTCGGATAAACGACGCTCTACTGTAATAGTTACTGAACTTAGTTCTGTAAAAATGTTAATGATTATTATTTATTTTGAAATTTAGACTTAAAATCAAACACTGATTATCAATTTCTATTCAATGAGATCCCGCGTTAAAACAAAACTAGCAAAACACTAATTATATACAATGATGTCGCTGATCGGCATTGTGTGCCCATGACTTTGATTGACTGCCGATCGGAAGATTTATGTGTTCTTCAAGCATTACAGTTACAATTTAGAGGTTTACATTATTTCTAAGGGTAATTATTTCTGTTTGTTATGAAAAACAAGCGGAATAAAATTCGAAACAAAAATAAATCTTTTAAAAATCAATGACACGTGGTTTAAAGGAAAGAAACAGTGCGCATGAGATTGTAAATCAAGATTTCCAGATTTAGAAACTTCTCTCAAAATTTTAATGAATTTAGAAATAAGTTAGGGTAGAAAAGAGTTTCTTTTAGATAAAAACTGCGAAAATCTGCCATAATTTGTTATGATTATTACTGAAGTTTTTATTTTTTTCTTAAAGTCTTTCCACTTTACTCTGTGGGTACTAAGAGGATCTTCATAGCAAGTCTGGTCAAACCCATAGCAAGTATTATGGGTTTAGCCAGACTCACAATGGGAGGCCGGATTGTTAAGGATGGAACCCAATATATTAGAATGGACAACCCCGAAAAATTCCTAAGGTTTTTCAACTCATTTGGATTCGATTGCTACATACCTTAATCATGGGCGTAGCCAGAGTTTTGTTATGGGGGCCTAGTGGAGGCCAACCTGACACAAAATTGAATTATTTCAAATTATTGTTCATTATTGGGCACCGAGCAAGCCGTTCACTTTTTTTTTTTAGTATTCAAAACTTTTATTTTAGCTTTAGGTGTTTACAAACCGACTCAACACTTTTTCGGCTGTGATTTCCTGGGGGGGGGCACCAGGTTCCCTGGGAGGGGCCGTGCCCACCCAGGCTCCCCCCTCGCTACGCCTATGACCTTAATCGTTCTTCCTGCCTTCGATGGTACAGTAGTTTAATTAATTAATGCTATTATTTGGTTGATAATAAGTTCATAACAATCTCGAGGCTTTTTTAGAGGTATTTTTCATCACACTTGAAATTGCTCCGTATTTGAAGATAAGATTTTACACAAGACGACAACGTTTCCAAGGTCTAGTTAAGCTTTTTTATTCCATTGACATTATAGAAAGATCCGCCCTTTGGAAGTCTAATGACTTTCCACTCCGTTGCTCGAGCGGAGAATTTTAAGGTCGATTTATTTAAGCATTTTATTATTACCTTACTTTTTATAAAACGAAAAAAAAAAAAAATACAAACGCGACAAAAAATGCGAACAATACGTCAGTAATTCTATACAAAAAGTATTTTTCTTCCGTGGAAAGCGTAATTAACGAAAGATCAAATTATTAACCATAAATAACGTAAACCGTAATTTGTAAAACATAATTCGATTGGATTAAATTTCCGTACAGATCTACGCGTCACTCACACAATGGCGCGTTATAGCCCTTTTCGCCCATACGATAATTAATCGCGCCATCGATTACGCATCCCTTTTTGCTTTTATTAAATACATTTAATTAATAGAATAATACAATACGGCATAACATTATTTATTTCTTTACTCCACAATTATTAACGGCTTCGTTTTCGATAATTACACCTCAAAATAACACGTCGAATGGCCTTTAACTTTGTTTCCCCGTGGCGACACCAGACGGCGTTTTGTAGAAATGGATTGGTCGAGTAAATAAAAGTCGATCGAGTTTGGAACGAAAGTGTCAATTTTTTTTTTCCGTCGTAAGGACGACTGTGATCGGTAAGAGTGTTATTTTTCTGTATCGAAAGTGTCAGTTCTTTGTAATGTTGACATTTGTGACGTAGAACAATACTCCGGTATTATCAACTGTTAATCGAAGGGGGTCTCTGCCGTCTTCTTCCCGTGTTTTGAGGACAAGTGTACTCCGTGTACGACGTTAACACACAATTACACACAAGGTTTTAATTGTTTTCGATACACACAACTCTCTTTACGAAAATTAATTAGGCCGAAATTAAACACGGCCCGAACCCTCCCTCCCCCCTTTGTTGGAATGTGTTTTGACTCCATGCGTTTTCCTTATGCATTTATAATACATAAATGCATAATTCGAGGACGGAGTGTATTGCGTAACTAAAAAAGAACAATATTTGATTAACTCGAAATAGGCAATTTGCACGCGAGATGGGAAGTCTTTGATGCACTAGTTATTGATCGAAATAAATTTTCCGCTTCCGTACATTAAATGAAGAAATGGTATTTTATTTTGGTTCGCTTAATAATTTAGTTTTCGGTTGCCGGTGGTGACCGGAATGTTTAATGTTTCCGGTTCGGTTTGCATGCCGCGCGTTGTTTAGCTTGAAATTCTACATTACTTTACGTCTTCTTTATTGTTTTTGGTCCGTAAATATCTCTGTTTTCGGTTTGCGTTATGATTAAAGAAAGACAAAGATTGTTAATTGTATAATTTTATAACTAATCTAAACTGAAAATAAAGA